AATTATCTTATGTACAAGATTAAATTAGCTCTTAGAAGAATCTTCCACTTCTTCTTCGTTAAATATTATATAGTTCATACGATTAAAGAATTGCAACTTTTTTTCGTGGCAAAATCTTGCTCCGAAGTAACCTAAGAAAAAGAAAAAAAAGAAACATCTACGATTCCCTGGAGAAGCGAATTCTTTTCCTCTTTTCTCTGTCAGCGAGTTCAGTTCAGTCTCTTCGTGTTCGAAAAAAATAATCGAAGACCGTCTTCGAGTTGCATTCGGCAGGTGTTCGGTGCGCGACAATCGCCCGGTGAATGGAAATTACCGGTTTCTCCTATTCCCTCTCTTTTTTCCCTCTCCCTCTTCATCCTTCGATTCGACACACTCTTTATCCGTGACGTCGAATCACGTTCACGGGCTCTGCCTCACGCGGAAGCTCCTTGAACACAAAAACAAAACGCCGGGACGCGCAATAAATAACAGGAATTTACAAAAACAGAAAAAGAGAAAAAAGAAGCACGGGTGAAGAACGTCGTAGAGAACCCCTCGAGTTTCCCTTCTTCCTTCGCGCGCGAGAGAGCATCGCGCGTCTCGAAGCTCGAATCGAGCAGAAAAACGAAAAAAAAGCTGCTCCAGGCGGTGACTTTCTCTCTCCCGTAGCAGTCAGGATCCTTTCCATCTTCGACGCGCCACAGTCTAGAACTCCTCCTTGAAGAACCTTCAATAGCTTGGAGGAGCAATTAACGGGTCCCACACAACTATGGTGTATTCTTCAAAAGACCCGCTTTCGAACACGTACGACACGGTCTCCCTAGCAGATCTTCGTCGGTGGCTGCTACTTCAAGTAGTGTTTCTTCCTTGTCGACGACCTGACGCAAGGCGCCTCGTTCCCTTTGCCACCGCCAGAATCCTTCCACGTGCTGTTGCACCTCGTAGGTGTGACAGGGTCGCTGAACCTAGTTTTGCCAAGAGTGCTGTTCTTCTGGCTGGTCTCTTGTTCCAGGTCTCCCTCGAAGAACCTACACATCTCTCTCACAGGAACAGCTCTGGCTCCTCTGTTGAGATCGTGAAGAGACCTGGCACGTTGTTTGCCCCTGGGACACGGTTTAGCCGATGTTCGACCAAGATCTTCGGTACTTCTGGCTAATCGACCGCCTAACCTCGACAGGGACTCGAACAACGTCAGCTTTTCTCGCACCGGTACGTAGTGGTCCACCCTCTGACATCGTTCCAGAAGCCTGGCTACGTCTTCTTCGCAAGGCGGTTCGGTGAGAACAGACAGAGAGGTCGACGACCTGGGTAGAACCGAGGAATTACAGTTTTCGACGATCTTCGAGGTCTGAGATAGCTGTCGAGATACCGGAATCCTGGAGGATAATTGGGCCAGGCGTTCCTTGCGTTCCTGAAGCGTCTCCACCGTGGTATTCGTGATCTGTTGGGCCTGTACCAGTTGTCCTTTGTCTCTGGTACTTCTCCTCTCCCTAGTTCGACTTCTTCTCTCTGTCACGTCCGCTCTGAGGATCCCCGGACTTGCGTTGCCATTTTTCGGACTGTTGTTGTTCCTCTTGTCGTCCTCGTTCCGTTGATCGTCCTCGAATCTCACGGAGGAAGTCTCGTTCGGTTTGACCGGCGGTAGCCTGCTGTTCACGTTCTTCTCGTTCTTGAGTCTAGGCGAATCGTAAGCAGTATCACGGTCCTTCTTCGCGGGAGTTAGACAATAGTCGTCGTTGTCGTTCCCCGAATAGAATCTGCTTCTCGATCTGCTCGAACCGTACGTCTTCAAGATGTCATTGTTGTTCTCCTCGGCTCTAGCTTTCCTTCTCCTAGCGTCCTCCTCCAACACTCTTCGACTTCTAGCTTCGTTCTCCCTTCTCCTCACCTCTTTGTACCTCTGAATCCTCTGTTCCCTGGTCTCCGGTTCAGGAATCGACACCGTCGAGTCCACAGAGTCGACGCTCGAACGACACACGCCTCCCCAAGGAAGACTGTCGTCGCTGCCTTCGCTGCTCTCGCTGCAACCCCACGTTCTGGTCAACGGTTGGTCCTTGGTTATGATAGCAGGTATACTACGAAAATCCCCGAGCAAATCCTCGTCGCTGGAGTTACTACTGGACCAACCACGTAGCTCGCTTCTCGCTCTGCGTCTGGACTCCTCTAGAATCGTCGTTGTGGTTCTGGAGTCCTTCTCGGAGGGAGAGCCACTGGTCCAGCAACGCAGCTCGCTTCGAGAGCGTCTTCTGGACTCCGTAGGGCTGTCGGGAAGAGGGACTGGACCTCTCGGGCAGATGGTTAGGATCTCCAGGAAGTTTAAACATCTCTGGGCTCGAAACGGTGTTTGCCTGACGAGCTCGGCGGCGATTGCCCTCACCCAGGACCAGTAGATTGGCTCTGTGTCAGCCTGAAACACGTCAAACATGCTCTTTAGGGTATTTGTCGTTTTTTAAGGTGTGCTTTAGTCGGCCAAGCTAAATTTATCTCGTTAAATAAATGGTAACTTTTTACGCGATAATCAACCATCGTTAGCATACGTCGACGAATAATTGTGAAATATTGAAGGAAGCGGAGGCGGGGAACGTGATCGAAATGAATGGCGATTCAGAAATCTTCGTCGAAGCGGAGAGACGTCCGCCTCGAAGACGTCCTTTGAGTCAGTGTGCCAGCGAGGCGAAGGAACTCGTTCGTCAGGAAAGGTGGATGGTGGGACTCCTTGACAATGCCGGGTCATGGGAGAATGGCGCGCGGATCTCCCACGCGTCCGCTTATCGTCGAGATCGCGCCGGCGGATTTTGACCTTGCCTACTGACCTTATTACCTTCCGCGCCTCCGACGGATGCAAGGATTACGTCACATCACGCGTCCTCTCTGTATCTTATCCGTCGACCTTCGCCAAATTCCCATTGGTTCGCTTACTATCGATCGCGATGTGACACTTCCGAGCGTGAACATTTTTCGGAGCGGCGGAAGATGAACGTGGCGAATTGAAGGATATTTGTGAGAGATAAATTCGAAGAGAATGGACGAATAACGAGAGGAAATTGTCGTTACAAGGTCCAGGAACTGATGGAAGGGATTGTATAACCAGATAGAAATCGAATGGCGACGCATACGGAGCGTAATTAGAAATTGCGGCGTCTAGCAAAACGGGAGCTCGAGATGCCGACGCGAGAAAGTGTTTACGGGCAAGGAAACGGATCGTGCCGTAGATAAGGCCCATTTACATGCAATTACATTGCGTGTTGCAGCGAATTACTCTATCTCGCCTCTCCGCCACCTCTTCCTTCTTCTTATTGTTCGAGCCTATTATACTACGACTCCTCAAACCACTCGACACGAGCATCTCGTTTCGGTTTAACCTTCTGCTCGACGATTTATGCTCAGAGGGAGAAATACAACGAGATCGAAAAATGGTCAATTATATTTTTTCCTTCACACACGAGCATGAAAGCTACGGCTGTACTTGAAAAATCTGGAAATCTAGGCTGTCGAAAGGGTTAATAATTGACGAAGGATTTACCCAGAAGGTGGCAAGGATGTGATTCTGCGAATTGCTCAAAGTGAAGCCGAGGGCCAGAGCATGCGGTTGACAGAGGCTGGGTGCTGCCTGTCGCAGGTTCAACGCCCTCAACGGAAGACTCATGGGAGTAGTACCCTCGACCCATAGCCATCCCATTCTGATGGAAACGATACTCCTCTCTCCCAGATTCTCCACGTACAGCTCTCCTGCAACAAAGAAACAAAAAAGTCGAGAAATTCTAACGAGGATCAATCAGAGCGGAGAGAGATTCGAGACATATTGATCGCGTTCGGACGGTTAATTGAGGATATGCGCAGTGACCTTTAACCTGAATCGTATCTAATTAAAAGTATCCCGTCGACCGTGCATAATTCATCGGGAACACCACGTTCTCGCTTTGACCTGGCCGGTTGGCGACTCCGGCTCCCATTTAATAATAAGTTTCGTGCTTTTCTCTCGCCCTATCGGGCCGGATGAATCGCGTAAGCGTACCTAATCAAAAGCTTGACGTCATTCAATTGAACAGCGTAGGAGTGAGGATGGACATCCTACGTCTCTGGGCAATTACCGCTCCAAACGACATCCAAACACGCCCACGTGTGGGTGGGCTATTTTTGCCCTAAGGTGGAAGTCCGCTCCCTCCGCCTTACGTCTTCCAGTTTTATTCCCGGTGACAAACCCCCGGCCCAAACAGAACCGCTATCTAACTTCCATCCAAGTTTCTGTCCCTCCAATAAAATTCCACAGCCTTCTATCTATCGACCTATACTTCCAGCATAGAGAAATACTCTCCGGTGACCAAGTGTACTCTAAAACCTAGCATGGAGATACCAAACGTTTCTCCGAGACACTACTCGACAAATCACCGGCGGACGATCGGCAAAGAGTCGAATTTTTACGTGTCGCCACAGAACCTGGATACAATTATCGACACCCTCGAGGCTCGCTGGCGCAACGTTAGCGTTATCACGGTTATTATATCGGACACGAGGCATAGTTACAAAGTGAACGAGCCGCCGTTAAGTACGTCCATTAACCTTCCCCGGAGGAATTCCTTATCGCGAGCGAAGGACGTTCGCGGCTAGAGTATCGGAAGGACGCGATCGACCGGATTCTTCGGATTCTCTGGTCTCTCGGTGAGAGGCAGAGAGAGAGAGAGAGAATTGGCGGTGAGGGAGGTACTACAGCGCAAGGTCTTTCACCTGTACTACTCGCTGCTGGACATGACGACCTACGACACGCGCCCCCACCTGGTTTCCACGGAAACCAGCTGATGATAGCCGAATAGCCGGCAATCATTTTCATATTCGCATCGATCGTGCACGGGCTAAAGATAGCCTGTAGCGGGAAACACCCACGGTGACGTAGACATTTTCAGAGTTATGAGCTTCTAACCTTTGCGGAGTTTGTTAATGTTTACGTTTGTTGCCTTAATCATAGCGCTGTCGATAATTTGGTTGATTATTCGAACAAGTAAATCAACGGATACAGAAAAAATACTGCACTTGAATGTGGATGTTTGATGTTGAATTCTGTTAATCCTCGGTATTGGTCAAATTGTAATAATTTGCTTCGTACGTTTGTCGATTGAAGCCAAACTAGAGGCGCGTTACCGTTGACAATTGGACTGAATTATCAAATTCCAATTAAACGAAGCTCTTAATTGAACCATCGTGGAGGAAAGAGAAAGCATTACGAGTTGCAAAAATGATGATTCGTTCGAAATGAATTTCCGAATTTCGCCATTTGCCCTCGAATTAATTGCTGTTGCTGAACGGCGAGTACTTCTACTAGCAAACGAAAGGACCTGGAACAGAAGAATCCCGTGGTCGAGAAAGTGCGAATTAAAAAGTCTCAATCGAGACGGTTGTTTTTCGCAGTCGAGCGATCCTGTGGAAATCGGCACGCTCGCATAAATTGCCACGCGTAGAATGACACGCGAGCTGAACAAGTCGATCGTGACATACGTGACAGGCTAGCAGAGATACTCTGTAGCGCGCAAATCCTCCAGTTTTTCGTCTCTTTTAGGGCAATTATCGTGAAAGTGTCGCCGGTGTCCGGCTCGACGTTGATCGGTAATTATCGGCGTGTTTCGCTCGCGTGAAAATGGAAAACGAAAGCGAAGCACATGTACACACATCGACGTCGTATCTGGAACAGAATTTTCTAATCGCCCGACGCGAAGCATTTTTGCCTCTTTTTTTTTCGCCAGCGAATAGGTGAATCACTCGGTTCTTTCAGGGTCAGTCCACGTTTTGCGCACGGCAATTACAAGGAGGTCTTCGTGAGAGATTTTCCACGAAGCTCGTTACGAAACGCTCGGTGAATCATCGTTGCAACGTGTTCGACTTCGATCCTTTTTCCTTCTTTTTCGGCGCTTGCCCCGCGACAATGGCGCGAGCAGAAAATTACAGAGGCCCTGTTGCGAGTGTTTTTCGTCGGTAGTTGACGAGGCGGCATAAAACATCTGTTTCGGAACGTGAAATCGGCGAATCGTATTTTCTGGCCGAAAAGACTCGTTTTAGGAAGGTTAGCGTTGGAGAAAAGGGAGAGAGGGAAGCGGTAAACGTGTTTGAAGAAGGCTGAAGAAGAGTAGGAGCCCACCGTCCGTTCTCTCACGGTCCATTAAGCCCGAGAAGTCGTATTCGTGTGAACGCCCCATAAATAAGCCTCTTCTAGACCCGCATCCTGCCGATCTGAAAGCTCTCTTCAACAGGAGAATATACACAAAGTGGTAATTCTCGAGTGTGTGTGTGTGTGTGGCCTCGTTTCTCCGTTAGAACTGTTCAAGCCTTCCACGTTAAAACAGGCTTTATTTCCTGAAAGCTCTCTTCAACAGGAGAATATACACAAAGTGGTAATTCTCGAGTGTGTGTGTGTGTGGCCTCGTTTCTCCGTTAGAACTGTTCAAGCCTTCCACGTTAAAACAGGCTTTATTTTGACGTTGATTAATTACCTAGATTCCGCGTTAATAATGGATCTCACCAATTCGACAAATACAGCGTTCGATTTGAGAGGTAGCGTTGCGAGAAAGAAGGTGAATGAAACCGAGTGTTCACTCCTTCAAGGACAATCCCTTTTTTCCAATTCACCAACTTTTATTACGGAACTGCATGAATATTTATGACTCGGAAGAAGTGAAAAGTCGAGGCCCTCCGGCGTGGAAGAGGCTTAAAACTCGCCTCGTCGTATGTTTCATCTGTCCCCCGTGGCTGGCCCACACCGCAGTGGCACGTTTCACTCAGGAAACCGTTTATTTCCTCAGATCCTAGGATAACGCGTGACTGTCACGTATACCGGGTGACTCTTACGAAAATCGATACCGTTAACATGGCCACTGCAGTTCTGGAACCTTAGAATCCACCGTTTCCGTGCTTCCACGAAATTATCACACGAACAAGACTCGAACCCGGAAGTCTCGGCTACCAAATTCGAGCAAACCAGATTGTGAACGCCTGGAAAATTACTCGGAGAGGAGGAAATTTTCATTTCATAACGGAAGAATTTATAGAATCCGTCGATTTTCCCTTCGAGCACGTCGAGGAACACTCTTTTCCATCTGTTGCGTTACGTGAACGTGTCTCTTCCATAGGCTATTGTTCTATTAAAAGCCAGTATCGATCAGAGAGAAAAGCAACGAGAGACCTTGGCACCGGAACCGACCCTCGACCATCGAGTTACACGTGAAGAGAGAGAAAAAAAAAAGAGAAATACCCGCGTCGATCCCACGAAGATCAGAAAGTGTATATACACCTATGCACGAGGAACTTCCGTGCTTCCTCTCTCGGCCAACATCGAAAATCCTGTTTAACAGTTCTCTGTTTTTCACCTCGTTTCTTCACGCTTCTCTACCTCCTGTCAGTCCCTGAACGTCATCCTGGTCAAACAGGGCCCCCTGATCGACGTTTTTTCCTCCTCTTCGCAAACACCATGAATTATTTATCCAACGGGGGATCATCAGCCACGGGAACACCCTCGATTCTCCACGCATCCTTTTGTGCATCTGCACGACCAGAGCTTCCTTTTCTCTCTCTCTCTCTCTCTCTCGGTAATTCTTAAGATTAAAGTAATTTTTTTCAATTACAATCTTCGACTTAATCCTTTGGCTGCGGCGAATTTTAGTACGTAGTGTGTAACGCAGATTCAGATGTTCCACAACGGCCGCGAAGTTCTCTTCAAAATTTCATTCGTCGAATTAACGCGGAAGAGTGCAGTGAATGAAGTTAAGGCTTGATATGGAAGTGCGCCAAACGGCTGCAGAGCGAATTTTCAAGGCGCCAATAGCGGTGAAAGGGTTTAAACTGGACAAATCTCGATTAACAAGACACGAGAAATTCTCTGTATCTAATTAAGTTATTTCCCCCGGTTTGTTTCGGTGGTTTCCGCGCGCAAACCGGTAGTTCACGAGGAAGGAAATCAGCAGAGGTGAAATGCGACGTGAAAGTGACACGGACGGAACGGAACGGTGGACCAGGACGGGCTGTCACGAGACCGGAAGCTCCGCGAGGGACCAGGAAGCGGAGGTGGGAACGTACCGCACATATATACATGTGTGTGTGCATTGGCAGTCGTCATGCGAGTCGAGGTCTGCCGACTCGCTAGATAAAACAAGCTGATGGAAAAACGGTCACCGTTATTGCGTGCTGCTACTTTCTGCCACACCTCCCCCTTCCTCCTTCCTATCCCGACAATCCGTCCAGTTTTACTCGCGAACCACCGGCTACTGTTTCTCTACCTCTGTGTGTCTCTCCGTTACGAAACCACCATTCCCCCCCCGTGATTAATACCATCTCGAATCAGGTCGTGTATTTATCTTCATTTTGAAAATCGAAGTTGCCTCACCGATTATCCTGTACGAACAGCTATTAATAAGACTTTCATAACAGTCACAATCGCCCTCCTCTCGTTTTCAAATGCAGCTTCAGCGGGCATCAGCTACGCCTGTTGCCACGTGAGACGCGTTTTGCATTTGGTTCCGACGGTTCAAATCGACCTAACCTCGAAATTGTCGATATTCAGCTTTTCTAATTATTTCGTGCGACGATTCGGCGGGAAATTTGAAAAAGTAGATTGAGATCACAGATATCTGAAGGATATTAGAAAATGATGAGTATTTTCTGAAGATCCGAAAATCTTCTCTAATTTTCCATTAAATGATTTTCCGTTGCGCGAAGGATACGGATTTTCGTAGCTTTTCTAATTATTC